TTTGTGAAGACCGCCAAACTGATGACAGAATTACTCAAAGTGAGGGTCCATAGACTGGTTCCAATCCACAAGCTATTGGCTGTTGGTCTGTAAAAGAAAGAAAGAAAGAAAGTTGTAGCCAAATGAGCACAAAAATGGTACCAGTCTTTGGAACATTTGGGGAAAGATTATTCTAGCCCCTGACAAGCACTGCATTACAGCATATTTTAAAATCTATATTAAGGCTGCATGTTTGCAACAGAGAACATCAGAATACTTTACAAAAGTGTATAAATACATCTTTCACACACCTTGGAAGTCTAGTCTGCAGTAGATCACAACATTCTTCTTACCACTTTGTCTCTATTTTGTTTTCCAGACATCTTTTGATGAAAAGGTGGCAAGAGCTAGTAAGCCATGACAAGGATGCTGAATCACCAGGACTAGCCTCTATGTGGCACTGAGATGGGGTATCCCCCCCGCCCCAAATCCTAAGTGCTGCAGCCAGTGGAAGACTTAGGTATATTTACCCAAATCCCCTGGACCATACTGCAATCAGGACAATGGCCTTCCATTCACTGATGGAGGATGCTACCAAGATCTCTGTGCATCTTTGTGACTTTTTAATCTACCACCAAGCTTCTATTAGCCCCCTTTCAGAAAGTAGCCCTAGGATCTGTTTGTTGTTGTTGTGTGCCTTCAAGTTATTTCCAACTTCTGGTGACCCTATCATGGGGTTTTCTTGGTAAGTTTCTTCAGAGTGGGTTGCAATTGCCATCTTCTGAGGCTGAGAGAGTGTGACTTGTCCAAAGTCACCCAGTGAGTTTATAGGGCTGAACTATGAATCGAACTCTGGTCTCCAGAATCATAGACTAATGCTCAAACCACTATGCCATGCTAGCTCTCCTAGGATCTGTACCTCTGTGGTTTCTCAAGAATTTGAGCTGTCTTGATGGCCTCACACTTTGCTCACAAGCTGTTCTTGGCTCCTGGTTAAATGAATGCCTGTCATACATCTCACCCCGGGTTTCTGCCCCATTGAATCTGTACTGTGGTCTGGGGAAATGTCAAATTTCATGGAAGTCTTGTGTGCCTGCCCAGTTGTTTATACTGCTATGGTCCAAGCTCCTCTGACCCCCTTGACCAGTCTTTATCAACTACTGAGAACTCCATCTCTCTTCCTCTTACCCAGGGCTTTGAAAATTTGCTTTTTTGAATTAAAACTGCCATAATCCCTAAGCCAATATAGATATGCAAGCTGTGTTCCAAAAAGAAAAGTTCTCAAGTTGTACTCTCAACAGACTCAGGACAGGTAAATTTCCATTGCACTCTTCTTTCTCTCCTGTCTCATTTCTTAGTTCACTGCCACTTCTTTCCCCTCTCTGGTCTGCTTTTTCTCTCCCACACCTAGCCTGCTCTTCTCCCTTTTCTTTTCAGTAACTTAGCTGTTTGTATTTTTCATCTTTAAATGAAACTCCTTTCCTGGGTTGTTTCCCACGTTTAAGCTCTATGTTCCCTGCTCTGAACCTTACATGAATAGAGATGGAAAAGATATTCCAAAATATTTCAAAAATTGTCAAAAACATGTTTGTTTGCATTTAAGAAACCTGAAAAACACTAGTCCTAGAATAATCAGGTTCTCTGCAATTTGGGATTTATTATTTTGCAGATAAAACAACATTTTCTGTGCAGAAAAGAAGGTTTGCTTTCCAGAAAAAATATTTCTACCCAGCTGTTTCCTGCACAGAAAAGGCTGTATTTGGGACTTACCGTAGCTTGCACTAAGTTTAGATGCAGTTGATTTGTACAGGAAAAAGCATTTTCTACCGGGAAAACAGGTTATATGCACAGAAAATATGTTTGTATAGAAATATTATTTCCGGTACAGAAAAGGCTGTTTCCTGTGGAGAAAGGGGTGCTTTATCTGCAAAACAACCACATAAGTCCCCAAGTGCAAATAGTTCCTGATTGCAATGTGGTTTTTGAAGACTTTCCTGGGGCAGGAAGAAAATTGCTAAAATTATGAGGGGGTATTGTAAAGTTTTAATTATCACCTTTGTTTTGAAAGTTTGTTTTGATTTGTAGTTGTTAACATATCTCTGTATAGTCACCCTCCAGATTTTCACATTTTCCCCAGTGTTTCTTGACCTTCCGAATAGCATTATTGTAGAAGTCTGCCAATTGCACCTTCCAAGGATTTTACACTTTAGTCATTTCTGGCACAACCTGTAACAAAAATAAAGGACACAAAAAGCTGATTTTCTCAACATCATGGCACTTAGGGATCAGTGATGACACTGACAACATTTCATCAATATACCATAATAACTTCCAGGTGATAATTATTACTTTATGATATCCCCTCATAAGGCACAATCTGCAGACTCCTACAATATCAGGTATTCAGAGGGTCAAGAAATGCTGGGGGAAATGTG